GTAGCCTTCAAAATGGTTGAAATCTCTCCAGTTTGGAGTCCCTATAAGTAGTTTTAGTGCATGGGACACACAATATGAAATAAGGAGAAATCAAATGCTCCTTCAGGAAATAATATTTGAGATAATTTTAATGCAGGAGGATAGAGTTAGGCATGTAGCCCTGTGTAATGCTAACCCAAAAAACTGCAACCTGCTGATTCCTGCAGTGGTCCAGTCAGAAACTCAAAATGATCCTGAGGGTTGACGTCCTGCTGTTGCGTTCCCAGCTGGCTATAGTTGGGAATGGAAGCTCTTGCTTTTCAGCCCAATGCTCTTCTCACACATTCTGCAAAAACACTGAGCTGCTGAAGAACTTGCAGAGAGCAGGTGGTAACAAAATTTATGTAATGGTCTTTGTTCCACAGCCATCAGTTAGTTGTCTTTCACAAAAGCTGACACCAGCAATGTCAAGATCTTTCCAGGTTTATGTTACCTTCAGTCATCCCCTTTCATTAAGCAGTGCTTCGTAGTCAGGCTGAAGATGTAGGTGATGGTTACCTCCTATTTAATCATGGAGGAAATAAGTGATTCTCCTAAAACTCATTAATCTCCATAAGAAAGGAATGTTTTTCCAAGTTGCTTTAGCTATTCTTGTCTACTACCCTCTAAGCCCACAGTAAAATTTAAATGCCAGAATTAAGATGTCTGGAGAAAGAAAGGTTAGAAAAATGTACTGGCTGACAAAGCTATTGGTCAATACAAAGTGAGCAGTAAAGGTCATTGTTCAAGCTTATGGACTTTTGCTTTGAATATGTTTCTTTACAAGAAGTGTTGGAAGAATTTTTGATTTCTTCAAGGGATCAGTAAAACCCAGAGTTCAGCAACTGTGAAAGCTGTATTTTATTTCTTCAAGAAGAAAGAAAGTCTGCTTCATTTTCTTTGAGTGTCTTTGTACTGGAAAAGTGAGAAAAACACTGCTTGTCACATCAGTGGTGCAGGACTGGGCTGTAGCCATGTTAAGACATGGTTTTGGTTTTCTCTATAAAAAAAAACAAAACAAAAAACCACACAAACCAAAACAAACAAACAAAACCCCCAAGAAAACCCAAATCAACAAAAAACCAAACCAAACCAACAACAAAAAAAAACAAACACAAAAAACCAAACCAAAACCAAAAAACCAAAACAAAGTGAATAAAGCTGTCCCCATGAAAACTGCACAGAGTCAGCTGGGGGACTTGCTGTTCTCAGAGGACCACATTCTGGGCTGGATTTCATTTCCAGTAACTTTGATCTGCTGCTGATATACTGCTTCTTGCTATATGGATGCACCAGCCATCTTGCCATGTTCACTTGTAGCCCACTACTGCCTCTTAGTCTCTCTGATAACAGTCGTGTTTTAAAATCCTTGCAGTTCTTGCCCTTGGGGAATACAGTCAAATATTTCAAGCCATTATTAATCATCTGGTGAGATACTGGATAAAACACATTGCTGTATTGTCATTTTCTGAACCTTTTTACAAAAGATTGGAAGCCAGGTCTCTTCTGCTGAATCAGTTTTTAGGTTACACAGGCTGTGCTGAGGACACATCATATTCTCACTTTCCAAGTAAGTTAATTTTCCAACTTAAACTAGTAGGGTTTTTTTCCTATAAATCTTCTCAATGGTAAGAAAACAGTTACATATCTTGAATTTTATTATTTTTATTATTTATTAAATTATCTTTTACTGGTATCACAGATGTGATGGCATCAGCCTCAAAATGTAGGCAATATCATGATAAACAGATCAGGGGCGGGGGGGGGGGGAAGTCCATTGTTTGTTTTATGTTACAAGGGAGGTTGTATAAAGGTACAAAATTGCAATTTGCAGATTGGTGAAGTTAATTACATCTTCTGGGAGAAAACATGATGCCATAGTAAAATCTGCAGGCTTTCCTGTGTGCTTGCTGGTGTCCACATAGTTCTAAACATGTAAATATGGGGGTGTGTATGTGGTGTAAAATTCAGTAATAGGGAGGAAAACACCATTTCTAGAAAGGAGAGATTGGAAAACGACTGCATTAATTATCAATTTTCTCTGCTTTGCAAAAGCTCTTTTAAAATTTATTTACAGTAAATATTCCTCCATTTTCATTCTTTTCTTTTTGCCTTCCAGTATCCAAAAAATGTTGGTAAGCACTTATTCAGTATTCACCTTGGATACAACAAGCTACTAAGAAGTTCACCAATATCGAATGTTTTAGCATTAGAATAGCACAGATCCACTGAAATTATAGACAATTTATGCAAAGGAAAAGTACATAATCATGATTTTTCATTGAGTTATCATTAGCAGCCATCACAGCCTGAACAATTTAAAACCAGTTTCTATTTCAATGTAAAATGAAAGAGTTGGCTGTTGCTCAAATATCCTACTGTTTTCTAGGCTATATACAATCCTCAAAGTTCATTGTATTCTTGGGATCTGGCTTGAAAAATAGCTGATGTAAATCACCGTCTAAATTATTTACCTAAGTTATTTATGGGCATGCCTTCACCGGCAGGAAGTGTTACCTCCTCTCCCTATTTCAAAATTCAGTTATATTTAATCCTGCTGTTCCAAGAATGAAGTATCCTAGCATACGTTGACATGTATAAATGCTTGTTCCCAACCGAAGTGTTAGATAGGAGAGCTCCATTAGCAGTCCCTGAAAGAAAGGCTTTCCAAGTAAAGAAAGACACAGAAGATGGAAGGACTAATCTCTTAGTTTCTGTTGTGAGGGGGTTCGGCAGTCAGTGTCATGTGGACAGCAAACAGAACGGCTGATGGAGGATCATGCAGCCATTCTCCTCTTAAACTGGGTATGCTCTCACCTGAGGTGTTGGCTCCACAAGATCTATTACCAGAATAAAAAGTAAGTAACAATTCCTGTTGGGTTTCCTTCACTGCTGTGCAGTTACTAACAGGAAAAGAGGAGCTACCTCTGAGTTTTAACACAGCATATGTTTGTGTGCACAGGGATTTTCATCCCAAATCAGCCTCAGGGTCTGCAGGTCTGTAAATCAGTATCTCATGTAACTTTCTTCCCCTAGTTTTCTCCAAACATTTGAGAGGACAGGAAGTGTAATCCTTCAAAGGATTTAAAGTATAAATCTTTTACACTGTCTCTATTTCCCAGTGTTTTGCATAACTGTATCTGTGGGAATGCACAATCTAATCTGTTGGCTGACCCAAGGGAATATTGTTTAGGTAGTTACATTAGTTTGTATTTCCTATTAACATCATTTTTTGTTCATATCCTTGTTTGTCTCTTTGAACTCTGCTCTGTTGTTCTTTCTTCATTCAAATGTGCAGAGTTCAAGAGCCAATTTATAGGAGCTTCCAGAAGTACCATTTAGTAGAAATCTGCTGCAGTTTTACAAAATGAAAATATGCAAGTTCAAGTAGGCCTGTGGCGATTGTGAAATAAAGATCGATAGTACAATTTTCTACTGTGATACCTCTATTAAAAAGTTTTTTTTTTTGAGTAATGCTTCATAGTGAAGTTGCTTCTATTTAAAGCATTGAGTTTGATCTTGGCTTTGATCTGAAGCTTTTGATCTTGAAAAAAAGCATGTTGTGGCAGTAAAACAAAAAGGGTAGGAGAGAGGGTTTTTTTGGTGTGGGTTTGTTTTTTTTCAGTGATAAAGGGATACTGTCAAGATACAGTACACACTAATTGGACCTATGTTTGCTTAAATCTGTGTGCAAAGTCCATCTAATTCTATATATAGGAGGGTCTGCTCAAATACGTGCTTTAATGAGCCTTATTCTTTTACAAGAGCATAGATTTTCTTTTGATGCTGTCCAGAAATTGTCATATATAATATAGCACAGAGTATATTATTTTTTAAATACTAAAAATACCTTTCTATCATAATTTTAACTGTATTGAGTATGATGCAGTCCATCCTTTATTGTCTTGTCATTTTAAATGCTAAACACAGATCACTAAATAAAATCCCAAATTAGGAATTTATAGTATTCAAATTTTGCATAGCTGACATTACTTCCGTGTCTTCCATCATAGCAGGGCTTGTATATCCTCTTCAAAGAGCACAGAAACATCTTGAAATCACACGCCTAAGTTAAATCACCTGCTTGCAGTCTCTTGCTGAATAAAGCATTTAAGTGGACCCGCAATTAGGGGCTTGCTGTGCTGTCACACGATTAATGAGCTGGTCTGGTTCTTGCTTTTAAGGCACATTTCAGGCCCTCCAAGGTAAGTTAACAGTTGGATTCTTCAGGTGCCAAGCAAGTAGTGGGGGTGAGCTGAAGCACTTCATGTTGGTGGTGTTTCCTCTCTTGAGCCAGCCCCATGAGCTCGTTACTCTGTGAACAGCTGGGACAGCGGGCGGTTGTGGGAAGGCTAACAGGAAAGGCGTTTGTCACAATGAGGGACTTGACGAGAGAGCGTCTCTCTGAAAGCCAGACCGTAACGCCGCTCACGCGGACCTCAGGAAGACCCGGCCCGGCGGCCAGGCGGTACGCACCGCCGCCGCGTGCTCCGCGCAGCTCGGCGGGCCTCGGTACCCGCAGCGCCGCGGGGCGGAGAGCCGGGCCCCGCCTGCCGCCGGCGAGGCACCACTGGCGGTGTTTCTCGCTGGGCCGGGGGAGGCGCGGCAAGCCCCGGCGGGGCCGCCCCGGAGCCGCTGGTCCGTACGCCTTCGGAGCGCTCCTCCTCTCCGCACAGACACGGGGGCCGGAGCTCGGGGGCGGGGAACCCCGCGGAGGTGTTTCATTTCCGACCGAGGGCTGCGGTGTGCCGCCACTGAGGACGGCGACGGCAGCACGGGACAGGGCGGGCCGGGCGCGGCTCTCGGCTCCCGGCTCTGTGACGCTGGGTGTGGGCCGGGGGCCGGTGTCGGGCGGGCCGGGACTGCTGCAGCGCGTACCGTCCCGGTCAGTGCCGTCCGCCCCGCGGCCTCGGGGAGCGGAGCGTAAGCGGGGATACTCCGCTTGCAAGCCCGCCTTAGCGTGCGCTTTCTCCCCCATGTAGCCTTTGCTGGAGGAGCGCGAGACGTGGAAGGAGAGTCGGCTCGTCCAGCAAGTGAGCGGCGAGGTGAGGAGAAAATCTTCAGCAACTCTTACGTTGCCCCCGCTTCGTTCCTTTGCCAGTCTGCTCCCGAGGTTTTTCACCTGACGCCCCTCGCCACCCCCGCCATGCTTTAAAACGTAGTTGCTTTCATATGGGAAAAACATTTGTATGGGAGAAAAAAACTGAAGAGTTACTTCTTTATTAAATAATAACAACCCCATCGTCTAAACTTGGCGTTGGTAGCCTGGAAAAACTTTGGACTGGGTGGCTGGAAATAAACCTCTTACTTGAAATAGAAGGTGTATGGGATGAAGCACAGAGATTTTCCCCAGGATTTTTGCGCACCGCAGTGGTTAACTTTCTGTCCGGGCTTCCATTTGGCAGCCCGGTCTGTCATCAAGCATGTTCTTGTGCCCAGAACTTTTAAACTGAAAGCTTGGAGGTGAACACCATCTCACACTTTGACCATGCACAAGTAACTAACCAGATCACCTAAGACCATGTCATTCTAGATGGGCAGAAGTGCTGTTCGTCTTTGTAGTGAAGCAATGGAAAAAAATTGTCTGGAGTCTGTTTATAGCTTCTTACTAATGGTGAATAGCTGAACTTGGGTCACATCTTCATGCTAAAAAAGTGCTATGGTTTTAATCCAGGTCACAAAATGGATTCGGACAAACCAGATGATGAGAAAAAGTGGCAAAAAGAAAAGAAGGCTGGATGAAGTTGTTTTCCAAAAGGTAAGGGGTCCCAGTGTGCGTTTGTATAATGAGACGAAGGGTGGCAGATCCAAAATGCTTTCCCATGACACCTTCTTAAACTTTTATAGAGGTGTTTTCTAGCGTCTTCAGCAAGGTGACAGTGAAAAGGCATTACTAGTAAAAGTTTGAGTGTCACTAAGTAATTACAATGGAAACAATAATTTTTTCAGGCATCTGTAATTTAGAAGACAACTTCCTCAGAATGTTCCAGTTTTTAACTGGATGTTAATGTTTTTAACTGTAACATTCTGAGGGAGAAACAGAAGAGTGCTTTCATCAGAGAAATTAATAGAACTTGAGAGCTTTTGACAGGACCTACTACTATTTGCATATGTTCAGTTACTAGTAGCTGACAATTTTCATTGTGGATATTGGTACAATAATAGATGTAATCTGTACCTTGAAACAAATAGTTCTAACTATGCTGTTGTCACATAATTCAGAGGGTGAGTTTGGAAATAATCTATTTGCAATGTAGATTTCTATTAATGAAAGTGTGCCTAGATGGTTATTTTATAATTACTACAGAAGATTTTTTAAAACTGAATGCAGCCTAAATTAAACTATCTTTAACCCAGAGATTTTTTTATTAGCTGTTGTGATACATTTGTTCTGTACAGTTGACCGTTTAAATCAGTGTAGAGAGAGGTAAGTGACTAGCCAACACTTTTCTGAATAGCTGTTTCTTTTACAAACAGATTTAGAATTATTTTTTTTAAACCTGTTACCTTTAAAGGATTAAAATGGCAGTGTGTTGTTTCGCTGTTTCGGCAGTGCTTCTAGAATGCATGATGAATCATTGCTGTTTCTGTAGCCAAATTCTTGCTGATAGCATGGCTGCCAACTCCTGGATGTGTTGCCTTAGTATGGGCATTGCAGTATATGACAAATGTCTGTGAAGTGCATTGTTGTGTGGGCATTTATGAGCTCCATGGTGAGTTAAAAAACCACCAAATAGCATCCTGTAATTCACTACTACTTTTACTTTGTAACTGGAATACATTGTTTAGGAAAGATGTTCTGTGGTGCTGTGCTAATGGCATGATCTAAACAGAGACAGCATAAACTATTGCACTAAGTAATTCCATTTCTCTTTATATTTTGGTATGTGAATGTTTGTTTGCATGTATGTGTAGCATTTGTGTTTACAGTCTTTTTAAGATGAAGAATTTTAAAGTTAAAAAAGTATCACTGTGTGAATTTGAGAGCAAAATGCATTCAGAGTACATACAGCCCTACTACAAGCTACAGTCTGCACATGTTTTTATGTAATTTTTAAAGGTGCAAAGTAGGTTCCCTGCTATGTCTTAAAGTAGTCTTAAAGGTACCTTATACTGTTACACCTGTTCTCATCCCTTTCTATTGGAGAAGGCTTCCTTAGTGCAAAACCCCTTTGTACCAATAAAATACCATTGCTGGGGGGGGGGAAGTTGTTCTACTTTACTGTTAGAAATGTGAAACCTAAGGTATAGTCATTTTTTTTTTTAAACAGTAATTCTTGAGTAAGGTCTGTGAGCAGAAATGTGAATTAAAATTGAAGGCAAGAACACACAGTCTTCTGTTATCTATAAGTATTAATAATTCTTGGAAATTGAGTGCAGATTCGCAGCACTGCATTGGCAGGGTACTTAACCCCATGGAAACGAAAAGGCGTAATGATATGTTTTGTAGTGGAACCACTGACAAGGTACCAGGGGTGGGATTCCTCATCTGCTGTAGAGTGCGGTCTTTGCAACGGTGACTTCTCCAATACAGTTGAGAGAAGAGAAAAAAGACAAGGGAACTCCCTGGTGCTGGCAGATCTTTATTGTATTGTTTTGTTTGGAGTTGATTACAAGTAGGTTTCCAGCATGGCACCAGTCAGTGTGGATGGTGCGAACCTTTCTTCCACTAGAATTCTTGATTTTTCAGTCGTGTCTGTATTGGCTTGTAGCAGAAGTGATATCATAAAGCCGTGGAAGTGCTTTGGAGGTAAACAAGACAACAAGAAAGAAAAAGGCACGTAATGGAAAGTAGGGTGCCCTTGAAAAAATTAGCAGAGGTAGGAATAAAACCATGGAGTGAGAAGAGGGAGGCGAGAAGCAGAGCAAGAAGTAAATAGAGAAGTCAGAGCTGGTACCAGCTTACATCAGAAGTATGATTAAAATAAGGATACTGATGTATTTTGCTACACGTGGAAAACTGAAATTCACATTGATCCTGCTTATCCTTTCAAAACAAGCACTAACTTACTAAATGTAGCTTCTAAACTTTCATGTGCCTCTGCTGTCCAATTTTCCTCTATCACTTTTCTTCCTTTGTCATAGGAAGTCCTTTTTCTAGTACAAGATGGATGGCTTTGCTATACTGAGACACCGCCAAATCAAAGCAAGTGCTTCTGTGTCCAAGTATAAAATTTAGGACAGATAACTCCGTGGAATAAGTGAAATGGAATCGTGTAGGAAATGTTGCTGACAATTACTGGGGAATTACTTACTGAAAAAAGTTGCCTTCTAAACAGTTAAGTGTGTAGGAGCCGACTTTACATACACGTGTATTTAAAGAACATTTGAAGATAGTGTGTGATGGGTAAGAACTGTGTAACTGCTAGTGTTAACTGCATATATAAACACATAAAACCTTTTAACTGCTCTGTTTCTGAAGGATTTTATTTTTTCGTAGTAGCCTTTATTACAATCCTTCTTTTTCACCCCTGTTCCTTTCTCTGTTCTCCTTTGTCTCCTTCAGTCACCTTCAGTACTGTTCATTACTTTCTTTCAGTTGGCTTTTTCTAAGTTACCTTTTGTACCCCTTGATTTCTGTTCATGGCTCTCTGTAGATACTCTTCTTACGATGTGTGTGTACACATACATAAACCTAAAAACACCTATTGCATTTCTGCTTTTTTCACCCCTCCTCATGCATTCTCTTCACTCATTTAATCTAACTCTGTTTCTTCATTTTATCATTTTGCTGGTCAGCACATCTAGTTTTAGTTAAAGTTAGTGTTGCATTATTTATGAAGAGTGTGATAGAAATGCTAAGTATTACTATTATTTTTGTTGCGATACTGGACACTGTCTGCTTGGGGAAAAAAAGAATTCAATTATCTATGCCAATGCTGGGTGTTAGGCAGAAGAAAATAATCTTTCAATCAGTCCAAAGGAACTGTAGCAGATGATCTGTATCCACTGTGAGATTTGAGAGGAAACGTACCTTTTTATTAAGAGACTAACTCACTTTTATATGAAGTTCAGTATTAGAATATAAAAGCTGCTTTGAAAGTATGCCTATGGTAGAAAGTGTCATAGGATGAGATACCAAGGGTACACAGTGGTTAGGGAGAGCACTGAAACATATGTTTATATACCAGATAAGGAATATGATTTGTGCAGATTATCAAAATTGCATTTGTCTCTTTCAGTTTTAGTTTGTTTCTATACTGAAACTTTGAGGAGTAATTCAGCTTTTCCAGAATAACTTCTTCTGTTTTCTCAGACATACTGTTTTCACATGTTTAAAATTTGCCCACTAGTTTACTGAAAATGTATTATCTTTGATTTTTTTTCCTATTGATCATTCTTCTCACTCAAGAGATTTACAGTTGTCAGTATTTAAGCTCTGTTAATAACCTAAGAAAAAGTTACTTTGAAATAGCTGTCAAGTTTCCAATAAAAAACCCCAGACAACCAAAGCAAAACCAACTGTGATATGTATAACTAATGCTAAATGCTTTGTCCTTTAACAACAAATTCACCAGTGTAACTGAAACTCTAAAGCCAAATCTTGTAATTCGTTAAAATTAAATGTGGTGTTATACTTCAAGTAGAAAATATTTTGAAGTCTTAGCAAAACATAGGTAGGGGGAAGAAACTGTAACATGGTAAAAGAGAGCTTTTATTTAACTAAGTAATTCAGGATTATATGCTTCTGCTAATTTATGTAAAGGAATATTACATAAATTAAAATTAATTTAAGATTTTAATTACCATGCATTTTTTTGTTTCTTGAAATGAATGTTTTTACTTGATTCCACCAATCAGAGAATCAGAGTAAGGATCAAATCTGAAAAACATCTTTTGTGATTGTGCACTACGAAGTGCTTAATAGCTAGAAGAAATATGGCAATAAGTCCTCAAGTGTTCTTCAGAGAGTGTTCAGTGGAGCCATTTGCTGTACCTGGCCTTTCCAAATTCTGTTAATCTCAAAGAACTTCTAGGAACCCTGTAAATGTATTAGATGAACTTCTTCTGTTATTCTTGTGGCAAACTGGGATTTGGATGGAAAATTTTACACCCATGTCATGCACAAGAGCTGAATTGCAGCAGATGTTGTTAAGCTATCTGAGAAATAAAGCCTGACATTTGAAAAAACTTTTGCCCTGAATACATATGAATAAAATTTCAGGCCATTAAAACAAAACATTCTCAGCATTTCGTTTTCCATCCCTGTAAAAATATCTGTAATTATGGATTGTTTGGAAACTATAATTGTACAGCTTCAAAAAAGTAGTATTTTTTAGGATAGTGCTGCTTCAGAGTTCACTTAAGAAACATTTAATAGAACAAGAAAACTATGTGAAAAAAAACCACCTTAGAAATTTGAGTTGAATTTTTGATTGAGCCATAATAGTTTAAAAAAAAATAGTCCAGTTCTGACTGCAGTACAAGCTCTATCCTATTTGCAGTAGTGTTGTGTCAGGATCTCAGTTTCCTTTTTAGTAGCACCCATCTCTCTTATGAAAAAAGTGCTGTTGCTGGCATATTTCACCTCGAGTGTCTCAGATGGGTGTTATTTTCATGTTGTCAGAGGGTGAATGTGCCTGTTAGGCCACATTCAGGCCACATTTTTATGTTTATATGTATATTAAAATATACAATATATATATATCAAAACAATTATAATAGTTCTGATTGTATTTATGTATTAGGCCACATTTCAGTGAAGCAGCTTAGCATGCATTCCCTTCCAGTGTCTGAGATGACCACTTCTAAATTAGG